GGTGCTTGTCCATCACAGGGTACACAGGGGCACAAACACACACTTATACCAGGGCTAATTTTATCAAAGCCATTTAATTTAATCATTAATCATGTCTTTGGACTATGCCAGGAAACCCACGTGAACATGAGGAGAACCATACAAACTCCACGCAGACAGCACCCCAGAAATTGAACCCAGATCCCCAAGTGAGGCAGCATTGTTAACCACTGCACCAACCTGCTGCCCCATATTAATGCCAATTTTACAAATATTGGAGTACAGTGTTCTACTAGTGTTCTAGTACATGTTCTATTATTAAGTGAAAATATTTCGTGGCATCCCCGCAGATACATTTTCAACATTATTTGTTGCCTTCCGACTGACAGCAGTCTTGACTGAAGTCAAAACACATGGAGACATTAAGACACCATGGAAATATCATCTGAAGGAAAAAAAGGTCCCCAAATGTTTTACTGTGGTTTAAAATTCAATTACAAAATGTATTTAAAAGTAAAATGGTATAAGAAAGAGCATTGAGTATTCTCACTCACACTAGGGCTCAACATGTTGAGTTTTGTTCATGTATACAGACATACAAAACTCTGTGGGCTTGGGGACTCCACCACAGAGCGTGAACATGTGAGGCTTGATTCAGAGAGCAAGTGACTGGAAAGAGGGAGTGAGTACCAATCTGTCTTTCACTGAAGCGTAACTCCTTGCTCTTTTGCTTTTCAGTTGATACGCAAGTAAGAAAATAGTCTCTCTCTGAACAGTTTTGACAGTAAAAGTTTTGGAATGCGTCCAAACACCGTTTTGAAACTTATGAAATGGATCTCCAAGAGCATGACCTCAGTTCTACTCTCCTCAATCTGTATGTGTTAATTCCCAAGGCACTGATAATCAGCTCCCTTGTCATGTGATTTTTCAGTGTGGTAAGGGCACATGATGCAATTCAATGTGTTGGAGCAAGTCTCTTCATAAAAAGTACATTCTGCTTCCTGTGAACCAAATTTAAAGAGAGGTCTTTTCATTTCTGTTCTTTTTTGCGGTGGTACTCCTAAAAGAGCATTACCATTGTAGATATAGATATTGTGAAGGCCAGCCAAGAAAGTATTTTTCTGGAGTGAGGGATGAAGATAGAAATGTTATATAATATAGTGCTGGGGGTGAAATACAATTGAATATGCATTGACGACATCTGGCCTAACATGGTGATAAACCTATGCATGTTAGCCTGTGTGCTGTAAAAAAAGATCTATATTTACACACCATGTTTTCTACGAGGACTCCAGAGACTGATTAGACAGAGTTACCCCAAAGTGTAAAATGATCTGAAATTGTTGTTTAATGGACATAAACCATCAATTTCTGAAACGTTTACCTTCCCTAATTACTATTAACAGCTTGTTAAACTCAGACAGGCTGTCTGTCTGGAGTTTTCCAGAAACATATCCTTCCTCTGCTGAGGTGTCTTCTCCCTAATTTAAAAATCAGTGAGTCATCTTTTCAGTTTTAGATCTAACAGAATAAGACAAATTCACTAAAAAGCTTGCAAACTAGTAACTGTGTAGCAATTATTTCATATGTTTTGGAATGGTTGAAATTGACAGGAATTGTATTTCTTCTGGGACCCAGTTTTATTACACAGGCCAATCAGAACTGTTTCTTTGTTATACAGATTTTGCTATTCAGATTATTAATACTTGTAAAACTGGCAGGACTGGAATGTCTGCTCCTTCTCACCACATTTACATGCAGTGAAATAGTACTTTGGGCACCATTTCTCTTGGGAATGCATTAGCACATGAACATTTATTCTGTTTACCACTTGCCTTTTGATTGATCAAAGATAGTGAACTGTAATCTGAAATAAAACATTACACAGACTAGTATGTACAGTACATTTTACCTAAATCTATTCATTCTTGGAACATCATTTGAGTAAAAAAGTGTATTAAGGGTAGCTTTCTATATTTTAATCCATCGTATTCACCTCCCTGACTTTTTAAAGAGGATTCTGGGTAGACAAATGCTTCCAGTTCTAGTGTGCTGTGCTGGGGTTTGTACATACAGTAAATCACAAGTGTCACCACTGATTGTTTACCATTGAGAGAAGAGGCCTATGGACCCATATTGATACCCTGGAGTGGATGTTTGGCCTATCCTCCATTTAAGATATAGTAAATGGTTGATCACATAGCAGGTATCACATTTGTCACCCATCAATATTCCATTTATAAAATGTTTAGAAATAACATTTGCAAGCCCTAATATAAAGTGTTACTGTTTTGGTTAGGGGTTGCTGTGCTGCCGATGCCCTTGTGCAGAATGCTTCTACAGAGACCATTTCATTATTTTCTTAAGAAATATTTTGAGGGTATTAATCATTTTACATATACAGTATAAGAGGTGGCTGTTTAGTCCATGATACTTCTTTGTGTTCTGTTTGTCCTTGGAACCTCACAAAAATACACATTATGACTAATGATCTACCTGACTACATTAAAAGAATAGCAGTTACATCATCAGGGTTAAATATTTATCTGCATAACAGTTAAACAGGTTTCAATACTACGGTACTGTATATTTAACTGGCTATCAGTGCCACATATACAGATTGCAATTTATGATGTGAGTTTTGAGTATAACTGACATGCTCTGCTTTTCCGATATTTAGTGGATAGAAAATCAAAGTCAAAATCTCTTTGGCTAACCTTTCTAATCTCAGCTGTCCCTATTCTCTACCCTTGACATCTTGCACTTTTAAACCTTTTTGAACAGTGAAAAATGAAAAATAATCATAGTGGGAGGTAAAACGTTTCCACAATGCTGACTGTCTACTGTTTTAAGAAAGCATTATTTGTGAGAAAGGGGAAATTCAGCAGGTAAAATGTAAATCTGTGATATTATGACAGAATCGTGTAGTTTTCTGTTCCTTTTTTTAAGGAGTTCCAGCGCCATGTCCTGCCGAAGACATTTTTGTGAAAGGAAAGGGCCAAGCCTCTTTTCAATTACACAAAATTGATGTTATTTGCGTTAAATGACACAACTGATGTTATACAAGGTCTTCGGGTATAATTTACTCTCGTTGTATTTAAGAAAATAATGATGGTTGTATTGAAAGAAATAACATCAAATGGTTCTACTTTTTAATAGTCCACCGAAACCTTCAAAAACGGCAGATGTCAACGTGATAATGATATGAGCACAGGCTAAAATAATAACAGTAAGCTCACGTTAGCAAAATCAGGTCCATCATTTACTCTTTTTTTTTAATTGAGTTTGATGACCAAGGCACTGAAAAACCTTAACAAGACTACTGCTTAGTCTGTTCTAAACATATTAAAGCTCCTATCTTTCCTTCAAGTTTAAACCTGGTTAACAAATATATTTTACTTAATATAAGGAGCAACAACAGTAGAATTCATATAAAAATCTTTAATCATCATTTTCAAAATGTGCTATGTACTAAATAAAGATCTGTTAAACATATCACATACTCAAAATGAAGGAATATTTTTTTTCACAAACATCTACTGTATACAGTATAGCACTGGATTTTGACTACAGAATTAATAACATCTTAATTGAGTACATCTGAAATATAGTTTCAGCACTGAATAATGTAAGTTCACCACCGTGGGGATAATTATGCATATCCTTATTTTTTATTGGGAAAGGGGATTACCATTAGTTACATTTTATAGGAGTACTCTCGGCTGGAGCAGGCTGAAAAGAAAATCAGCCAATCCAAAACTTTAACAGTACTTACGCATATGTTGCTAGGGAAGGCCACTTTCACAGTAGCATCTGACAATTGTAGAGCTTTCATGATGTAAAACATATATTTTCATATGCCATCTTTCCTATTAAAAATAGGAAATAACCACAAATTTCACTTTTTAGCAAACTTATTTTTAACATTAGAATATAAGAGTTCTATTACTTAAAATACATGAAAAAAACACCATCACACTAAAAAGTCAATCTAATCTTCAGTCTAAAAGTTAATTTCTTGATGTTCATACTCAACCATCCTATTTATTTTCAGACTGCTTATTCCAATTCAGGGTCACATGTGTGCTGGGGCCTACCCTGACAAGCAACAGGCACAAGGTAGGATATAGCTCAGTCAGGGCACCAGTCCATCACATGGCAGATATCAACAGTTACACACCAGGGCCAGTTTCCCCAGAAGCAAATTAAAATTTACCAGCTTGTTTTTTGACTGTGGGAGGAAACCCACAAGAATAAAGGGAGACCATGCAATCTCCACACAGACAGACAGTACCCAAGGTCCAGGATTAAGCGCAGGGCCCTAGTGCTGGATCCAGCAATACTAATCACTGTGCCGCCCTGATGTTCAGATATTAATTTTAATATGCTTATTCAAGATACCTAATCATTAAATGACAAAACTCAAAAATGATCATTTCAAAACATCACTTTCCAATATGCATTAATTTAAACTAAACAATAGATTATTTGGTGTGGCCCAATGGTTTATATTTCATATTTTAAGACAACAAAGCAACACAGCAGTTTATTTGTGCTTAACGGGATTGCTGTGTTCAACACGTTGAATGTGTGTTTTGTTTAAATTAATGATATTTTGGAGAATCTCACACAACAGGAAGCAAAACATTTGTTTCCTCATCGATGGGGTGTAAAGACAGCAGGTCCTGGCTAAAAATGTTTAAGACTTTAATGGCAAAATACAGTATTTTGATTTTTAGGTGCAAGATATATAACAAGAAACAGGGGAAATGCAACACGATCCCCTTTTTACTTATTTAAAACTGTCAGTCTTAAATAAATTCTAAATGGCTCCAATAAGTCAGCTACTCCTTAAGTTTGTTCTCAGGTAAAGTCTGTCTATCAACTGATGATGATTCCCTCAGCAGCCAATTGGAAACTCAAGTAGCACTGAAACTAGACGGCCAATTTCAACCCCCCTCACCTTTAGAATTGGGGGGTTTCCAATAGAAAGAGTGCTTTCACTTCTGCTCACCCCCTCCTGTTTAGCGGTTAGTGCAAGGACAGGCTCTTCCTTTTTCTGAAGAGTCTTAAAACTGTGCGCAGGCTTGCCAGCGCGTTTATTACCACTGGTACAGCGCCTAGCGAGGACGTCAAAGTGCGAAGCAAGCAGGGCAGGATGGCCGAGGAACAGCATGATGCGCTCTTGAAGAACGAAGGGCCTCCCAGCGAGGAGACGGTTGTTAATGTTCAGACCGGGCAGAGAAGGTAGGGAATCCGTCAATAAGAAACATAAAAGCAAATAAAACGCTCGTGTAAACTGTAATGCACCTATATTCTTGTTAGTGTCGTTTCTTGCTCCGTTTTTCACATCTGTGAAAGAAGAAAAAAAAGAATCACCCTAAAAGTGATTGGATTACAACAATATTTTAAAAATAATTTATTGTGTATCTTCGTTATATATCATTTATTGCTTTGTTGCTGTTCGGTTGAATATTATATATACTGTAGATATTTGGTCTTTGTTTCATCAACCGCTAGTTACAGTATGTATAGGCTATTATAATAAACTGTGTATGTTTTTTGCACAATAATTGACAGGTGACTTTATTATAAGTGGGAAAAAAAGCATTCTAAAAAAATATTTTCTCTTCAAATCAAGTAAAGTGTTTTGGTGTTACGTCACTTGTTGCCGGAGAAATGTGGAGTGCTAACTAGGCTTGGGCAGGAGTTTATAATATACGTTTTACAAATTTAAATTGTAGTGAAACCACTCGACTACTAGACAGGATAACAAAAAATATTTATTGGCTTTGGGATTACAGTATTCTGCAGTCAATTAACTTTTTAAATAATTTCATTAAAAAATCCATTCATTTGTACATCCTCTATGTCTGTAATGACCAGAAAAGATTCCAGAAGGCGGTTTTAAGAAATCCCCTCTTTTGAGCTATGATAAGCTGCCACCACACTCGTTGGCTTATTTTATTTATGCTTTTTGATTTACATGATTATTTGTGCATTTCTCAACGTGTACATATAATGTAAAAGACAACATAGAGTAGTTTAGCACACCCTTAACAGCTGTTGAAGGTCCTTTCCTTTTAAAAGTATTGTTATTTTTTTGCTGGTGGGAGGGGTAAATTATACTCCATAGTCACAAAAATGGGAAATTTTGAATAGGCCAAAATATGTTTGTTTTTGTGAAATCATAAAAAGCAGAAGCAAAATTTACAAACCTTAGTTTAAATAGTCTTATTATTTTATCACCTTGAATATGTTCCTATCGATGACTGAATACGTTTTAACAGGAAAACGTTTTTACTACTAATTCAATATACTGTATATATAATTTCATTTTTTGGTTCCAGGAAGGACAGCCTTTTGTTTTACAAAGAAATATATGTTGTGTTGCTTGATATCTATAATATATATACTGTATATAATAAAACATTTGGTGGACAATAATGGGTTAAATAACAAACAGGTGGCTATTTTCCATCTCAGCTCTGTGGTTTTTCACTTCTCTTTTTTGTTGTATGTCTTGGTGTCTTTCAAACTTGAGGCATTCTGGAAAACTCAAGAGCACCTCTTGCCTAGCAACAACTGATGCTACAGATGCCACATCATTGATGCCATATATGGGTTCAAATGTTTGGACTACAAAGTACACAGATCCTGAAAAGAAAGAACAAAGACAGCAAAACTAAATGTTTTGTTTTAAGACTAGAGCTGAGCACATTCTTAAACCCATTAATATCTTTCTTACTAATTTACATGCAGAGCTACTGATGAACACTCAAAATTAAGATTTTATATTTAGTTCCAAAAATTGAATCAAGCTCTACCCAGCTTCCCTTTGCAGTTGTTCAACATGTATGCTGAAGTGTTTTTTTACTACTAACAAAACTATACAATAAGGTGATTTTCAAGTCATAAGTCATAAGTTCTAGTACTACATTTTCTAGAAATCAAAATAAACCTCAGTTAAGGTAACTGCTGTAACCTAAAAAACTAAAGAAACAGAAAATGTTTACATATCTTTACTAAGATTGGAATCATAGTGATTTAAGTCTTTTAATTTCAGCAAATGGGGGAACAAATATTGCTCTGGAGTGTACAACCTCCGGCCCCTATGATTTCAGTAATTAAGATGAAAACAGAGACAACCAACTCTTCAGAGTTTAAATATGTGTGTACTTGGTGCTAAAACAGATTATTTTATTTTTTTGTCTCATTGCTATGGCATATCACAAATACTAAAGATTTTGTTTTAATGACAAAATGATCAGTTTTTAGTATAAACCTTAGTTTTCTAAAGGCAAAACAGGCAGCATAACTACTGAATTGTTATCAGATCTGCAAATGGTTAAAATAAACCCACTGTGTCGAGAGAAACTTCTTCCCTACAGTGAGATCATTCTTATTTGTTTTCGGGCTTCACATTGTCCCTCATTTCATTCCGATAAGTTTCTTCTCCTCTCCTGTTTCCACTGCAGCTCATCCAACCGGGGGTATAAGATCGCCGGCTTTACACTGCTGGCATGCCTCCTGATCGCAGGCCAGGCGGTCACGGTGTATTTCGTGATGTCCCAGAAGGGCCAGATCACCACTTTGGAGCAGCACACCGAAAACCTGAAGAAGCAGCTCAACACCCGCAAACCAGCCCGTAAGTCCACAGGAACGGCGTTCCTTCACATGACGCTGCCTTGACCCACAAGCACACGCTCATCCCTGGAGCCACACCCTGAAAAACAACCAGGGGTCCCCACGTTTTGAAATGGGGGGGGGTTGAAGGGGTCTTGTCTCATTGAAACTTATGGCAGCCCCTCTCTTTCCTTTGCACCCCAGCACCATCTGCTCCCAAGATGCTGCACATGCCCATGTTTAACATGCCTCTGCTGATGGATTACAGCGAGGACTCCAAGAAGGTCCCCATGAAGGTAAGATCACCTCCGCTGCTACTTCAAAGACTTCTCTCTTAACTCCAGAAAGACATAGGCAACTTGTGCATTGATGACATCAATTCAATTTGTGATTATTATGGAAAAGTCTTCTTGCCTGCACAATGGCACTGTAAGTCTCCTTACAGTGCGGGAACAACCATTTCCCCAGTTTAAGAAATGTTGTAACTTTGCTTTATTCCTGCACTCATTCTAGTTATTTTCGGTAAAACAGCTGCACGGTGAAAGTACAAATCACAACTATCATTAAAATTACAAAGATTACTGCAGCGCTCATAAGTACTATGCACGAACAAGTCTTCATAATGTATTCTAAATGTTATTAGGTGGTGTTTGTGTTAATCAAGCCCCATTATCACAGTATTAATGATTTATAGTATTCTGCAATGACTCAGAAATAAAAATGACTAATGACTGTGATTCATAGTTAATGCTGTGAGGATTAGATGAATTGCTGTTATTCCTGCTTCTGACAGAAAATTGAGGACACTGCCACTGTCAGCCTGGAGAAGCAAGTGAAGGACCTTCTGCAGGTAAAAGCAAATGATGTTCTGTTCCTTTGCAGGTTGTTGTTTTTTTAAATGAAATTGCTTTGTCGAGATTAAAATGACAGAGGAGAAAATGAAACATTGTTATCATCAACAGATGATTTTAACCCTCTAAAAGAGGTGATTCATTATTATCTCAGACTGATTAGCACAAGAATGATGATTCTTGATGATTCTGTTGATTCTGTATTAATTATTTCGATGTAGGATGAGAATCTTCCTCAGTTCAACGAGACTTTCCTGGGTAACCTGCAGGGAATGAAGAGTCAGATGGAGGACAGTGAGTGGAAGGTAAGTCACAGTAGCTGATGGAAGTAGTTAATAACAGTCCTTCCAGTCAGAACTACACATACATGAGCTGAGCATCTAAACTATTCTTCAGAATCAGGGTCGTGGGGGGCAGGACCCAACCCCAGCAAGCTAAACGTGCAAGGCAGGGGGCACCCTGGATGGGGCACTAGTTCATCTCAGGGCTGACCCAAAGAAACTCAAAATACTCACACCCGGGCCAGTTTTTCCCAGTAGCCCAAATAACCTACCAGTAAGTCTTTGGACTGTGGGAGGAAACTGGAACACTCAGAGGAAACCAACATGAACACGGGAAAACATATAACATCCACACAGACAGCACCTCAGGTTGGGAATCAAATCCAGAGACCCAGAGCTGTGAAACAGCAATGTTAATGAATGTGCTGCCTAAGCAACACATATGCATTTTAAGCATACAGTTTAAGTTTTGCAGCTCAGAAGAGCTTTGGTATGTGTTTCTATCACAAACCAAGTAATGCAGTCAGCAGTGAACTGTTTTGTAAGAATTTGCTGCTTCTGGGCTTGTGTAGACAGTACACGAGTAGAGCATCAAGGTAGCAAAGAATGTTCTTTAGATACCGCGTGACCATTATTGGCACTATCCTACAGGAGCTGAAGATTGTAGGACTGTAGGGTCACCATGCTTTTCCCATGCTTGCCTTACAGAGCTTTGAGTCCTGGATGCGCAGCTGGCTCATCTTCCAGATGGCCCAGCAGCAACCACCAAAGCCCACCCCTGTTCCTGAGGAAAAAAACACCCCCATGTCAGGTGAGAAACAGGGTTGGTAAGAGTGACAGACGGGGATTTTATAAAAAAGAAATAAAATCATTGCAAAAACCCAAATGGCCATGACCTTTCCCATAACTACTGTAGGTAGTTATGCTAAGGGGACAACCCTGGCTGCATTCCTGACCAGTAAATGAGCTGCATGCTTTTTGTCCTGAGGTTCTCTCTTACTGAAATATTGAGTAGAAGGAGAATTGTCCACATTTGTATTTGGAATGGATGTATAATTATTTGGAAGCATGCAATAGAGAAAAATTCCAAAGATTTGCCATGGTTGTTTACAGACATACATTCTCAGATATTCTTATTCCTATTTGCAGAGTCTGGTATCCAGACAAAATGCCAGCTGGAGGCCAATGCCAAGTCTGTGCATCCTGGGGTCTTCCGCCCCAAGTGTGACGAACAGGGCAACTATCTGCCCATGCAGTGCTGGTCCAGCACGGGCTACTGCTGGTGTGTGGACAAGAATGGGGATGAGCTCCCAGGCACCAGAGTCCGATTCGGAAGACCTCAGTGTGATAGTGGGGAAGGTAGGCCAGAGATTTCCTTAAATCTAAGTTGAGATTTGCATGTCCTTCCAAAGATGGAAGTGCTAGATTGAACAGATCTGCTCACAACAACAACAAAAAAAAACCACCTTCCCCTTACCCACCCCCCTCTCCTCACCCAAATAACAGCTTAATAGATGGTGTGTTTAATAGGATGCATGTTAACATGGTGTGCATGGTCAGACCCCAGATTCCATTTACTATCCAAGCATTTATGTAGGCTTCACTGTGAGGATCGTGAATGCTCTTGGGAGACATTGAATGCTGTCGTTGTCATTAGTTTTATCTCATACTATGAGACCTGTTACTCTATGCTCCTCAAAACCCCAACTCCAAACTCTGCAGCATCTATAGTGACTGATAGGCATCGCGCTGAGTGTTCTCAGTGGAATCAGACCTAGAATTCAACTTCCAATGCCTAAAACAAGACTCCTATACCAGAGGGCCATCACTGTAACTTTACACCCATTACGTTGTGTCCTCCAAGTCAAGAGGATAAATGTCTATAGTCAATCTAGCCTTAGTCTTCTCTTTCTCTCAGATGTCACAGGGACCAGCGACATAGATATTTTCTGTGAAATGCAGTAGGTCAAGCCGGATTGACACACTCTTTGGGGATTTTTGTTTTAAGCACCAGTGGTGTTTATAGCTTTGAATTTCCCTTATAATGGCATGATTTGGTTGCTAACCTCAGAAAAGAAAAACAATTTGATGATCAGGCCTTATATACTGTAAGATCTGTGTGCCTCCAGTTCTGTCCCATTACTACTTAGTCTGGTTTATAGTGAATTTTCAGAACAATGGCCAATTAGGCACATAAAATGATTTAAATTAAGCCAAATATTGGTTCAGAATATTATGTGTGATGCACAATAAATACAATTAAGAATAAAAATGATTATGAGCCTGTCCGTCACAACAGATATCTTTTTGATTAACAGGAAAAGGCCGTAAGATGGCTTTGCCAAGCTTTCCCAAAATGATGGAGCTGAAAGGTGAGTTCTAAGAAGAGAAGCCGTGATACAAACCTCTATTAAAACGAATGAACGTGTAGTTAACTAACAGCACTAATGTGAAATAAGAAACATTAATCAACAAACAGGGGTTTGCTGATTTTTGTTGACTCACCCAGAATTTGCTAGATTTCCCTCACATGTAGATCTGTTTAATTCTTCTACATGAAAAGATGTGAGTAATTTCTTTCAGGTATTTTCTTTCCAAAAATGGTATGAGAGTAGAAAGCAAGGACTGTCAACCTTGCACAGTTTCCTTTCTTATTGAAATCCCACACAGCTTATGTGTAAAAAATTAAATATAACTAATTCTTATCTTATAATAGAAATAGTAATATTATGTCTGTCAGATGAGTATTTACCACAGAATACATAGGTATTTACTTTTTGAGTTTTAATACATACAATGGTGTGCCACACTGCTGTCAGATATATATATATACACAAGAGTCAGGATATCTAACTCTTTAATGTTTGTTTTCCAGATGAGTAAATTACATGGGAAGGATGCTTACAAGTGACAGCTAAGAAGCGCTCCTAAAACCTACAATTGTGTAATCATTAAATATCTGTGATCAGGGCTTGAAACCATGCTAACAGCTTTTAGAGAACCATTACTGACATTAGTGGGCATATTTTTCTGAGGGGCTAAAGCATTTTTTTTATTTTTATTACTTAGTTCTCGATTGTCTATAACAGTGAGTCATACTGGAATGTGTTACATTCAATTTATAACAGTGGCTAAATATTTCTTGTCAAATAAATTAACCTCTCTTGCACTTAAATTGGTATGCCATCAATAAAGAGCCATTTGAAAGCACCTTAATTACAGCCGCCCATACTGTAGCAGATTTAAGACACCATCCAAAATCTATTGTCCTCCTGAAAACAATTAAATTGTACTGTAGAATTGTCCCCAACATGTCCCCAGTACGTCTACTCACAAACCACACCTTGGAACTTCAACCAAAACAAAATCCTCACTGCAGTTATTTTTTTTAATTAAAATTGAATAAAATGAATAATTACTGTCCATATTTTATGTATACAATACCTTCTGTCTTTCTTGTGCTTAATATATGCTAAGATCGAAGTTATGAAGTGCAGGGTTTTGAAGACTGGAAGAGATGTAAATGTATCTGAGAAATGGAAATTAAAGATGGTTTTTCCTAATAAACGTAGCTGTATGATGCTTTACATCTGTGTTTCCATATAAATGTAATACTGCACTGGATTTAAAGATTCTGTTCAATCTTTTTCATTTAAATGTTCCAAGGTATTAGGAACACAAAAGTGTCTTGTGAAAGAGCACTTTCATCAACTGGTTGTTTCAAAGCAGTTCAAAAGATTGTTATGGAAGGTTTTGTTTCCAGCAAAATCTTTACCACAAGACAAAATGAAAGGAAAGTGTGTCCATAAGGCCAGTTAAAACAATGATTTGTTAAAGGTAAGTAAAGTAATAAGGATACTATTTCACTGTAATGAGAAAACTACTAAAATGGATAAGGGGATATCTACTGAATTGCCCCAAACACAGTGAAACAGCAGCACAAACTCCTTGGAAAGCCTTGATTTCATATCCACTATATTTTTGCTTTTATCTGTCTCCAGACTGATAAAAACACTATAGTAATGTAACGTACACGGCCGACATTACAGGTTGTGCGAGCCGGCTTACCAGCACGGTGATGTCACCGCCCTTCCCTGTGAATAGCAGGGACCTCAGCTGCCGGGCTGAGGGGAGATTTCTCTTTAGCTCAACTGGCTGGGTCCCTGTTGAGTGACGCTGGAGGCCTGGGTTCGAGTTCCCAGCATTGGGGGGCTGACCTAAGGTGGCACGGGTGAGGGCGCATACCCGCATGAACCTGAGAGCGCTACATTGGTGTGAGAAGTGGGATGGGATAGCCCTTCGCCGAGGATGGCGAATTAAGTGGGGGAGAGTGTAACGCATACGGCCGACATTACAGTAACAACAGATCAGCTGATACTTCCTGCAAAGTGATGCCAGTTCCTCCTGGTTTGCTGACGCAAATTGCTGAGTTTTTGACTAGATGAAGTTAGTCTTTTTTTAAAAAAACTTGCAAGAAGTTGAACATTTTAAATGGAAACCTATGAAGCATGAAGCCTCAGTTCCTTTTTTTCTCAAACAAAAGCACAAAAACACACAGTGAATTGTTTTTTTCTTAATTTCTATTCTTCTATTTATAAAGAAGTGAGACTACTGTACAGTACATACTTTTTAGAGGGGGATTGCGTAGAATGAGAATACAACTGATACATTGTTCTTTATATTTTTATATGTCCCATCACTTTTTTTCTGATTTACTTTTCTTAAATTGGTGAAAGACAAATGATAAACTGATGGAAAATTACCACATACATAACAATATATGAGAAGTTTAGGATAAATTACAAAAATATATCTCATAAATTACAGATTAGAACAATGGAAAAGATGTACTTAATTGGTTGTTTTACATACATTTCAACAAGTTATACTTTTCAGGTGGCATTTGTTTTTGTGTATGATTGCCTGCCTTAGTAACCTTTTTCTTTGAGTATTTTTAGAAATTGACTTTGCTCACAAATTTTGCAAAAAGAAATACTGAATCAACAGTGAGTGAGTGTGTGCTTGTGTGTGTCCGTGTCTGTCTGCCCATTGATGGACTGGCGTCCATCCAGGGTGTATCCGCCTTGTGCCCATTGCTTGCTGGGATAGGTTCCGGCTGTCCCGCAATCCTGAACTGGAAAAAGCAGCTAAAAAAAGGGGCGGATGGAAATCACCAGTGAGTTCATGGTTGTGGGTTCACTGTTTTTGTTTCCTCTGCTCAATGAGAAATAACTGCTTTGGAAGGAGTGCATATGGAAAGTCCCTCAGATTCCTGATAGACTTGGCAAACACACCAGGAAAATTTCTAGCCCTCAGACAATCGTGACATGAGCCAGGATGGTACAGTAGCTCCCAAAAGTTCCTGATATCTACCAATACGCTAGACATTTACTTTTCATATATGCTGTAATAACAAGTAAAGGGAAACTGAATCTGCAAATAGTGCTTAACTAATAACATTCAACTTCAAAAGACATTATAAATTATTTTTGTTAGAATCATAGGTAATTTGTTTTTTACCTCTGTACAGTTTTCTAACTCAACAAACGTCACACATACAGTTCAAGTTGCATTTTGTTCACACCTAGCATAATCTGCAAAATTGGAAAACAACTCCCATTATTCAGCATTAGGAACAACAGTAAATTGAGTAGAGGAATACCAAAGTTTGTCACTAGAGGTCACAATATACCAATGGATAACCTGGGAAAAATCACACTAATACTACAGCATCATTCTAGGAAGAAGGAATCAAGTAAATTTTATTTAAATGAACACATAACCCACCCTAAAACCTATGGATCTAAAACACAATATCCTGAGTTTATGAATCTTGTTATGATAAGAATAGTAGTGAAATGAAAAATAAATCATGCATTAATGTTCTAACATTATAATTATTATCTAAAAACATCTATGAAGTGGCTTCATTACTCTGCTCTCCTCCCCACTAATAGCTGATGTGTGGTGAGT